TTAACTTCCCTATCTATGCTTTATTCCAACTCTTGTTGCATCTGAAATAACATTAAAATACAATTTAGAACAATGAAGATAACACACAGAACTCAACACCTTTTTTTTAAAAAAAATTGCACACATCCAAAGAAATTGCTAATAAATTTAGACATCAGTTTATTTGACTTTAGCCATTCATCAGAAAATCTATTAGTCTAATAAAATTATGCTAATATTAACAGAATCAAGTACTTATCACAATTAATTATACATAAAGAGATGTGAACTTTGTTAGCATAGTAGTCATGTCTCCGGTTTTGAATATAGTTTTCTCCTAGTCCAAGTAAATCTTATCCTTTCTGTTTCCATTTTTATCAATATAACATTTTTCTTTAAAAACAAAATTAATTTCACGTCATATACTTTGAAAGAATTAGTTTCAAATATTAATACTTTATTAAGCTAGTCTAAACACAAAATGAACATCAACTTTTAGTGAGCAAAACAAAACAGAAAGTGCCTAGAAATGATTAAACACAGTACAAAAATTCCTGTTGCAATTGAAATATTTCTTAATCCAGACAGAAACTGATTTCATTTGAGTTTCTAAGTCCATACTTCAGATTTTAGTAACAAAGCTAAGAGAAATCCTGCTTCCTACTCTAACTTGTAAAGAAAGAAGAAAAGAGACCAGTGCCAGTTTTCCAGTTCTCATAACAACTTCATAGAAGTGGTAAGAGAAGATGAATTGGGAGAGTACTCTTGATAAAGATTAAAGTTGAATAGTTTCCCTTTCAGAAGACAGATAAAAGCTTCCTTCCTTCCTTTTTTCCTGAAGTCAAATGGCTGCAAAGGGCTGGGCTCAAGATGGTTGGGGTTCTTTCTGATGAGTCAGATGTTAACATCTGATTTTGTTCTCTTCCTCTCAGTCTTGGCTGGTTAGGAGAGTTGAGGATTGGGGTTCCAGATTGTTTGCATGGTTGGCCCTTTAAGGGACAAGACTTTGTAGGCTTCTCCTGGTGTGGACCTTAGATAGTGCCTTGGACATCACAGCACGTACTAGATGCCTGTTGACTTAATTTTCTGTTCATTAGGGTTAGAACCTGAGTTTGGGAGTCGACAGCCCTAAGAAAAGACTGTTTGGCCTGTAGGGCAAAGCTTGCAGAGCTTATAATCCCACAGGGCTGAGTTAGAACACCGGCTTGGGCCCTTGCTAGCTGTATGACCTCATCTTTTAGCCTCAGTATCCTACCTCCAGGGTTCTAGTTAGGGCCTACCTTAAAGTGACTTCTGCTATTGCACCCCCTTTGCTGCCTTGCTGCCTCTGGGGGACCACCATCTTTCAACCAGCCTAGAAACAGGGCCATCCTTTGCAGGCCACAGCTGCCCTGACAGACGACCTCCAATCGAGTCTCCTTCCTAGAGCCTTCGAGGCCCCAGCAGGCCCAGCAATGCCCAGCCCAGTCCAGCCAAGCCCAGCTTACCTGGGCTTTCTTGGAAAGCAGCAGAAGACGATGCATAGGGCTCCTCAACTGGGGTCTCAGCCCAGGCGTCAGGGAAGGCACCCCCTCCCACGGCTCCTGGGGGTCTGCAGTGCATCTGAGAAGCCTTGGGGCCAGGCTGAGCCAGAGTGGTAGAAATGGTACATGGCAAGGCTCCAGTCCCTAGAACCCTGCTGTGTCCCACACGCCCTATGCCCAGCTTTGTGCTGGGTCTGACATAGGTGCAGCTGGTCTGCCCTTAGGTCCAGTCCCTCCAGCCAATTCTAATCCAGTTGGTCTCTACCCTTCCCAACCAAGGCCATCTGAAAGTGAATGACAAAGGTTCCTTCAGAGACAAGTAAGATGATCTGATGCTCCCATCTCTTTAAGGCCTTGACACATTTTGTTGTGAGCCACACAGTCAAAGGCTTTAGTGTAGGTCAATGAAGCAGAAGCAGATGATTTTCTGGAACTCTCTTGTTTTCTGCATAATCCAGCGAATGTTGGCAATTTGATCTCTATTTCCTCTCCTCTGCAAAAACCAGCTGCTCTTCTGATAATTCTTGGTTCATGTATTTCTGAAGCCTCTTGTAAGCATAACCTTGCTGGTATGTGAAATGAGCTCAATTGTTCAGTAATTGGAACAATTTTTGGCATTGCCGTTCTTTAGGATTGGGATGTAAATTGATCTTTTCCAATCCAGTAGCCACTGTTGAGTTCCAATTTTTTTCTGAATAGTGAGTACAGCACTTTAACAGCATCAACTTTTAGGATCTGAAGTAGATCAGCTGAAATTCTGTCACTTCCATTAGCCTTTTTATTAGCAATGCTTCCTAAGGCCTGCTCGACTTTATTTTCCAGGATGTCTGGCTCTAGATCAGTAACCACACCACAGTAGTTATCAGAGAGTCAAGATCTTTATTGGATAGTTCTTCTGTGTACTCTTACTTTCCCCCCCAATATTTTTAAACCTGGAAGATTAATATTCTTCATTCCCCATTTTGGTATATCCCAATCATAACTATTCCTCTGGACTGTCCTACATCTTCAAAGGCATTTGATGCTCCAATGTTTTAGTTTCTAGGAAAGAAGGGACCCCATGTGCATGGCCCTGTATTGAACTATCCTCTGGGGTAGCTAAGCAGCCAGGTTTTTTCAGATGAGTCTCACTAGGCCTTACTTTAAAAATATGCATATAAAGAAGATATGGAGATCGCTCCACTTTTTTAAAAAAAAATTAAAGCTTACATGATACTGTTCATAATCCTTTGTCTTCAACATGCAGAGCTCTGATCTTATTGAAGTTTGCCACAAGCAGTATGTGGAAATTTTTCTTATACTGTGCTATGAAAACTTGTCTGTTGGAACTGTCCCAAATGGCAGTTGAATTTGTTGAATCTGATCACACCACAGAAAGAGTTTCTTACTAAATGGAAGATCTGAATATCCTTTTGCTAAACATTTTCAGTTATAAAATCAGCTCCAGGGCAGGGAACTTGGCCCTTCTGTTGAAGTAGCAATGGGTATGAATATGTTTTGGGGTCAGAGAATGCTACAAGACTGAGGCACTGGTTAAGTGCCATGATGATCACAGAAAAGGCAGAGAGGTCTTCAATACCACAGGCAGAAGCAGGATCCAGATCAGTCTAACATTGTGGCAAGTCAGGAAGCCTTTCTGAGAGAGAAGGTACAAGTAAGCTACTGGTGGCTTTGTAAACACTAGGGCCTACAAAGGGTCATTTTCTGGATGTCTTCATGAGAGTGGCTAATTTTTCCAGCCTGTTAGTAGAAGTAGTTGTCTGAGGCCTCACTGTACCATGGAGCCGACTCTGGAATCTTGAAAGCTTATACCCATGGTGCACACTATCTGCCAGGTTCTACCATAATCAAAAAGCTTCAAGTATTCTGGAAAAAGACTGAGGTGCTGTTTAGCATTGAAGCTCCCTTGTAATCTGGCCTCAGCATACCTTTGTTGGCTTACTGTATATCACTTCCTTTCACACACTCTTAAGTTCCAAGCAAATTGGCCTATCTGCTGTTCCTTATAAAAAATATTGCATCTAGGCAAAGCCAAGAGGGCTGAGTGAAAGCAGGGACTCACTTGAGCTCTCCCCTGAATCTCTTCAAATACCTCTAAAAAGTGACTCTGAATAAAGTCTAGAATGGCAGAAACCATAGTGAGACCAATTGAGGCAGATTTCCAGCCCAAGGCAACCTGGAAGGTCGACAGCACAGGTCTGTTGCACTGGCTTGAGAGAGGAGTGTCCAGCACTCAGGGCACAGCACAGATCTGGCCTAAACAAAGCCAGAGTAGGCTTTGAGGACTGAATCACCAGCAGCAGTGGTACTTTGCAGTCTTCTCAACCCACAGACTCCAGAGACAACTTAAAAGGTCAGTGGGAGGGTCTATCAGAAGGAACCGGGAGAGAGAAGCAAAGTCCGGTCCAAGGCTGCAGGGTGTGCCAATACAGCTCTGGCTCAGCAAACCAGTAGCAGGCCCTGGGAGTGACGGAATCCACAACAGTAGCGGTGGCAGTCGGGCAGCAGTAGCAGCAATGGCAGTGACAGCTGCTTGTAGAGCCCACAGATTGAATGTTTGAAAGTCACCTATTTCAACTTCTGAAAGCCAAAATGGCAGAGTAAAGAGTAAGTTGCTCTCACCTTCCCTTATTGACTTTGAAAAACCAGAGAATATTGCCCCAGGAAAAACCCTGAAATAGTAGAGAGGCTAGAAAACAGAAAGACTAGCTATAGCAGTCTTTTAGCTCCTGAAGGCTAGGGGGATTAATGGGAAAGATCCCTCTTGCTGTGACCTAAGGGGACTAGTACAGGAAGGACAGCATCTCAGAAAGCTAGTGGCAAGCCACACCTCAGCAAACCAGTAACCAGGCCCCTAGTCCCTAGCACAAGAAGCCTGGAACAGTTTCCCCTATGCCCCACAAGCAGAGATCAACTTTAAAAGCCAGTAAAAAGTCAAACAACATGAGCAGAAAGCAACATAGAAAAACAATGACCATAGAGAAATATCTCAGTGACAGGGGAGATCAAAACACAAATTCAGGAAAGGACAACACTGTCAATATACCCTTGTGAAACTCAGAGGGGAATATGAACTGGTCTCCAGCCCAAAAAGCCTTCTTGGAAGAGCTCAAGAAAGATTTTATAAGTCAAATAAGGAGGTAGAAGGAAAAAAAAATTGAACAATTCCTTTCAAACTACAGTTGACAAAATGGAAAAAAAAAGTACACTGAAGAAAACAACTCTATAAAAAGTAAAATAGGCCAAAGAGAAAAGGAGGTACAAAAGCTAAGTGATGAAAACAACTTATTAAAATTAGAATTGGGCAACTGGAAGCTAATGACTCTATAAGACATCAAGAATCAGTCAAACACAATCAAAGAATGAAAAAATAGAAGAAAATGCAAAATACCTCATTGGAAAAACAACTGACCTGGAAAATAGAGATAATTAAGAATTATTAGTCTACCTGAAAGCCATGATGAAAAAAAGAGCCTGGACATCATCTTTCAGGAGATCATCAAGGAAAACTTCCCTGAGGCCCTAGAAAAAGGGTAAAAGAGTCATTAAAAGAATCCACCTATCACCTCCTGAAAGAGATCCCAAATTGAAAATGCCAAAGAATATTGTAGCCAAATTCCAGAATTATCAGGCCAAGGAGAAAATCTTGTAAGCAGCCAGAAAGAAACAATTCAAATATCATGGAACCACAGTCAGGATTACACAGGACCTCGCAGCTTTTACATTAAAAGATCGAAGGGCTTGGAATATTATATTCTGTAAGGCAAAAGAGCTTGGATTACAACCAAGTGTCCACTACCCAGCAAACTGAGCATAAATTCAGGGGAGGAAACATTCATTCAATGAAACAGGGGACTTTCAGACTTTGTGATGAAAAGACCAGAGCTCAATGGAAAATTTGATCTTCAAATACAAGACTCAAGAGAGACATAAGAAGGTAAACAGGACAGAAAAAAAAACAGTACGTTATTAATAAGGGCAAACTGTTTACATCCCTACAAAGGAAGATGACACTTGTAACTCTTGAGAATTGTAGCTTTATTACGGTATTTAGAGGGATATACATTGACGAGGGGATGGGTTTAAGTTGACTTTGATGTGATGATAAAAAACCTGATGAAGTGGTGAAAAGTAATTGTAATGGGAGAAGAGGAAAGGATGAGGCAGAAAAGGGTAAATTACATCACATGAAGAGGAGATAGAGAGACACAAAGACATATTACATTAGAGGGAAAGAAGGGAGGGAGATGAGCATTGTTTGAACTTTACTCTCATCGAATTTTGCTCAAAGAGGGAAATAACAATCAGTTATGCATAGAAAACTAACTTGTCATATAGGCAAGTACTGCTGTTTATTAGAATTAAAATTCTTCACTTTGTATTTGATCTCTTTGGGATCTAAGTGGTATCCCAGCATCAAAGAACATATATATGAACAGCATTTTCAAAATGCTGTTTGAAATAAGAGGGAACAAGTCCTGGCTTCACCCATAGTGTTTCTGTGCTTCTTTCTTCCCATGGTCCCAGCCCTTCTAAAGCCAGATGCTGTGGCTCCTAGGGGGTCAGGCCAGGCTAGGCTGCCCAGAGAATGGTCCTCCCTGGCTATGCAGTGCCCAGGTCTAGGGCTCTGAGGCAGCTCTGATCTTACAGGGAGTGAGAACTCTGGGAGGTCCTTAGTCTTTTGTTGCTGGCAGCTCAGTCAGGGCCAACCAGAGGCTCTGCTGTAAGCTCTTCGGGCTCCTGGCAGCCTGGCTGGGTTGTGGGGCTCATTCTGGACAATCTCAGGAAGGAATGAAGAAATCTTGTATTTACCCCAGTGTTCAGTGACAGATGCTGTCATCCTCCAAGGCTTTGGCTTGACTGCCTGGCTTGGGAGAGCCTCATGACCTTGGAATATTCCAGCAGATGGTACCTAGCAACTATCAGGGTTCCAGTAACAGAAGGCCAGCTACTGGCCATCGATGTAGGATGCCTGTAGCAGTTTTTTTTTTTTTTTTTTAATTGTAGGTAAGCTACTTGGTGGATGTATGTTACCCACACCAGGAAGTCTGTTGTCCTTGCAGGCTATGAAACCTTTGCCTTCTGACTTCTGCAGTGGAAAGCCACGGTACAATAGCAGGCGTGCCATCTCTGCCCTCTCTAAGACCTACTGTGCTTGGGTCAAACAGCAGGAAGAGGTAGGTAGTCTTCCTGAGCAGTTCTCTGGGCAGAAAATGAGTGCTCAGGAGATGGTTTTATCTTGTCCAACGCATGACCATGAAGCAAGGGGACTGGTTTTCAGGTGTGTGGCAGATGGATAAGGGACTCGGCAGGCACTGAAGTGGAGTCTGTGTTCATTTTAGGACTCTACTTTGCTGTTGCCTGTTTGCTTTCTTTTGAGTATCTCCTGAAGACGGGAGATAATTTAGCTTCCCTCCAATAATGATGCCGGCATTAATCCTAGGAGGAAAACTCATTTCCAAAGTAAATTGGTTTGCTATAGCAAATGTACCAGGGCAGAAAGTTGCTCTTGTCCTTTGGAAAGGATCAGTGATCCCAAGGTTTACTCTGATACCAGTTGTTAGGGCCACTCTTAATTTTTTATGACATTCATTATATTCTAAAGCTTTTTTCATGAAGTAAATGCAATATGACCTGCTGGAAACCACAAAGACAAAAACCGATCTGAAAATTTCTCCACTTCCCTTGTCTCTACCTTCTGCTTGGGAGCTGTTATTGTCCCACCTCTGAGCAGGACCTGCTCTTGCTATGGGCCTTCCCAGGATAGGTGAGAAACTGAAGTCTGCCTATGAGAAGATGTCATCCATTCCATCGCTAGGTCCTTCTTCAGCCCTAGTCTCTTTCTAGCCTTCTCTCCCTTGCTAGCATTTTGATTGGTGACCTCCACCTCCCATTCACTCCCTTTCTCACCTCCCACCCTTCAGACATTCCTCATCTGGTCACTTTGTGTTCCCTTGGTGTCAGCACTGGGCTCTAAGGTGCAAGAGCATCGTATGCCCCAAACATCTGGTCTCAGAAAGCTCTGTTGAGGGCTAGAGGCTTGAGAAACTGTCAGAATTCACAGTGGATCATCAAATGGATCATGAGTCCACAGGGCTGGCTCCTGGGCACCTGTTTATTGAGGTTTAAAACAAGCAACATCAACACAGAAAGACAAGATTCTGAATATGCACGGCATTGCTTCAACCGTACTAAACATCGCCACTCTGGTCCAGCCTTGGATAGACCCTCATGTGAGTTCCTAGACATCCCACTAAGTGTTGGATGGGTTTTCAGGGTGCTCCATAAGGCATGTGTCCTTCCAAAAATGCAGCCCCCAGAGCTCTCCATGTCAGATGTGGTCTGGCCAGGAGATTGCCACTGTCTAATGCTACCCCTGTATTATGGACACTATCTGTCTGTCCATTCCTCTCTCTCTCTCTCTCTCTCTCTCTCTCTCTCTCTCTCTCTCTCTCTCTCTCTCTCTCTCTCATCTCTGTCTTTCTGTCTCAGTGTCTGTGTCTCTGTCTCTTTTTGTTCTCTCTCCTGTTTCTGTCTCTGTCTTCCTTCCTCTCTTTCTCTCTTGTCTCCATCTCTTTGTCTTTCTCTCTGTCTCTTCCTCTCTTTCTATGCTCTCTCTCCTCTTTCTCTCTCTGTTTCTCTCTTCCTCTCTCTGTTTCTATGTCTCTGTCTCTGTGTCTACCTCTCTGTATTTGTCTCTGCCTCTGGATTCAGCCCAAAGGCCCCTTCCTTTTCTGGGCTGCCATATTGCACTTGGCTCCTATAGAATTTGCAGTCCACTAAAGTCCTCCAGCGTGTCAGGTGAACTGCAGCTCACATATCCTACACCATCCTGTCTTGGGGATGTGGCTTTATCTTCACATAAGTAGATTTGACTTCTGGCTAATGTACTCTGCGATCCCACACCCCTCTGACCATCCTATCCTGCTCCCTTCAGGTAGCTAACCTGTAGGGCTGTCACTCCCAAGATTGTTTCCAGGATCCAGTGAGATAGTGAGCTAAAAAGCATTTATTAAGGGCTTGTTCACTGCAGTGCTCAGCCCCTGGGATACAAAGAAAGGCAAAACCCTAGTCTCTGGCCTCCAGGAGTTCCCAGTCTAATGCCAGTAACTAAGCACGTCCAGTATGTGTGTAGTGCAAAGGAAGGAGGCCCTGGGTTCAGTAGGGCCCTTGGTGGCCTCCTAACATGGGTGAGCTGGGAGCAGAGTCTTGAAGGAGACCAGGGAAGGTGGAGGCTTTGGTGGAGAAGGATTTCCCAAGCAGCTTGGGAATCTGAAAGGGGCCCAGCCCCAGTTTTAGGATGGTCATTTCATTACCTGGACAGTGGCATTTGATCCCTCAGGCCTGACCACAAAGCCCCCAGCCTGGGGCCCCTATCTCCAGCATGGTCTTTTCTATAAGACCCAGTGGGGGCCACTTGGGTGTTCTGTATACCTGCCCAGGTGGGGTACTCACCTTCAAACTTTGAGGCCCCCTTAATGTAAGCCCAGCTCAAGGGCCCTGCCTTTATCCTCTGGCACCTTGAATTTCAGGTTAGGTGCCTGGGGACTCATCCCCTCAAGTTTCCATTCCTCCCCTCCCTGCTCCAGCTACCAGTTCAGTCAGACCTTGCCTGAATGTGATGAGACCTTACTGGCTATGATGGACATAAGTAGTCATGTCTGAGAGAGCTTCTTTTGGATTCCAAGAGTGAAGTGTTAGCAACCTGTTAGGGTACTCTTTGAGAGCCTTGGGGCAGCTTTGGATAACCTCCTGTAGATAATAGGGGAAGTAAAGAAGTAAGGTTCCAGTCATCACTGCCGTCATTCAGGAGCCCAGCGGGCAGCAAGGGCCTGTCAGGAGTGGCAGGAGGGGTCTAGGTTGCTTTGAGGTCAGTAAGCTCCATACAGAACCTTCAAACAAGGGGACCCTGAGTCCTCTGATAGCTCTCTCAGCAAGCGGCCATCTCTCAGCAAGAGCAGAGTCTCTGTCAATCTAAGATGCTCCTAGACAAGTAAGGAATCCAAGGAGAGCCTCATAGCCTAGTTCCAGGCTCCTGAGAGCAGCATCAACCTTTTGAGAATGCTGATTCAGCCAAAAACAACCTCCTCCAAGATGCCCACCTCCATAGTCCCTGCTTACAGAAACATCTGAGTTTCTGGATTACTTGGCAGGCCCTAGGAATGTTCTTTAGTATGTGATCAAAATCTAAGTGTTCTTCTGCCCAGAGGGTGGTCAGATCTTCCTAGGGAGCACAGAAAAGGAGACAGACATTCAACAAAACCCAGAGAACTTTTCAGGCTGTGGCAACCCCAGAGTACTGCTTCACCTCAAGACTTCCCTGACCTCCATGGGTGCTATTGGATCAAACCTAGAGAGGCTGGTCCTGGTAACCTGGTGTTATCAGGAGGACAGGTGGGCAGCTCCTGCTTTCACCTCACCTTGATGTGGACAGTGGTGTCCCTTTGGAAGTCCTCCTTCAGGGAGGCTTGCTATCAGCTCACCAGGCCCTCCAGGACAGCCAAATTGTCCTCGTGGCTCTACTCCCATTCCCCATCATATATATGTCTTCCCAGTGCAGATTTTTCTGTTTAGGTCACTCAGTCACCCTTTTCCACACTGGTGCCTCAGGGATTTTTTTTTTATGACTTTCTTCTGTATTATTATTATTATTAATTAGGCAAAGCCTAAAAGGAAATTGGTCTCAAGGACTGTGAAGTCAGTTGGAACAGTGGATATTTGATTATGACAGGCCTGGGGGAGGCCTCACTAACCTGATTAGGGACAAAGAGGTCCTGCAGGGAGGCAGCTGTGGTCAGGTGGTACCAGGTATTTCCGAAGCAGCAATGGAACAGGTGAAAGAGCCAGCCTGTAAACGTCCCAGCAGAGGGATTCAGAGACTTCACCCTGCAAGTCTGTCATGTCCCAGAGCTAGCCTGCTCCCAGCCTGTCAACTCTGCAGCCCCTTCTTGCTATTCTGGCTCTAACTGTGCATACAGATCCTTCTGTAACAAGCCCATCTTCACACAGTGTCCTAGAGTTATTCCACCCATGCCCATGGTGCCCCTGCATAGGAATGAGGAAGCTCCTTTAGGTGCACTGTAGGGACTATCCTGGGCACTGTGCCCACCCACTGGCAGAACCAAAATGAAAAGCTGATCCCCATCCACAAGAAAACACCAACATGGGAGACTGCATTCTGTAAGGTGGATGTAAGGGCCAGGCTGGTCCATAAGTGCTTGCCCTGAAGGGAAGGGAAGAAATGAAGATCCACCCAGAAGAAGAAAGCCTCAAGAATGCCCCATTTTCATGCTAAGGCTTGAGCCCTCCCACCCTGAAAACCCCCATCTGGAGCCAGACTGCAGAGTTCTCCATCTTATATGAGAGATAAAGTCCCCCCCGCCCCCAGCTATAGGGTACCCTTCAAAGTAAGTGGTGCACTGCCTGAGGAATGGGGCTCCAGAGGGAGGAAGTGATGCCTACCTGCACAATCACTACTTCATCCACTGAGTTTAAAACAAACAAACAAACAAAACTAGATCTCTTTGGAAAGGGGTACAAGGCAAATCTCTAGCCCCTCAGGGAGATGGAATTTTCTTGATGTAGTTTTCCTACACAGAAGTAGTGATGGGAATGTTAAAAGAATATTGAAAGAGATGGATAAGAAAGGAAGTCAAAAGTAGTGTGAGGTGATGAGATTAGATCCTGTAACCATTCTTGTTTTCATCTGTGATCTCATCCCACAGAGTGCAGGCCAACAGAAGCTGAACATTAGAAAATCTAAAACATTGTTATTTGTACACTTTTTATTTCTACAAGGAAGTTGGCCTTCAAGGACCCAGCGACTGGGAAGCCATAGAACAGGCCCCTGCACCATACTGTCCCTGCTTCTCATCGTCACCTCTGAATTGCCAGGTGTATACATAGGGTTAGAATGGCTGATCACTAGGGGCTCAATGTCCCCATCTATAGAATTTAGGCAACAATGTTTGTATTACCTACCTTAGAAAGCTTTACGGGGAGTATACTTTGTAAATCCTTTTCCTTTTCCTTTTTTTTTTCTTTTCAAATTTAAATTTTTATCCTGTAGGGCAGGATAGATTTACATATCCCATTACCTGTTTATCTTATTTCAAAGCTTCATGTAAAAACCATTTTTAACATTTGTTTTTAAAACTGTAGTTTCCAAATTTTCTTCCTTCCTTCCTCCCCTCAACCCTCATTGAGAAGGCAAGCAACTCCATACAGGTTGTACATATGTAGTCATGCAAAACACTTCCATAATAGCCATGTTTTTAAAAAACTAACTCTATTTCTTTGGATCCTATTCAATCCCCACCCAATTATTCTATTTTCTCCTTTGACTCTGTCCCTCCTCAAAAGTGTTTGCTTCTGATTACCCTATCTCCCAATCTGCTATCCCTTCCATCATTCCCCCCATCTTTTAGCCCCTTCTCCCCTATTTTCTTATATGGTAAGATATATTTTCATACGCAAATGAGAGTAAGACTCACTCATTCTCTCTCATCACTCCCCTCTCCCCCCCAAACTGTGAAAGCTTTTTCTTGTCCCTCTGATGTGAGATAAAATACCCCATTTTACCTCACCCTTTCTCCTTCTACCACTACAATCCTTTCTCACACCTTAATTTTATTTTTTAGATAACATCCCTTCATATTCAACTCACCCTGTGCCCTCTGTCTATGTATATTCCTTCCAGCTACTCTAAAACTGAGAAAGGTCACGAGTTACAAACTTCATCTTTCCATGTAGAAATGTAAACAGTTCAACCTTGATAAATCCCTTATGATGTCTCGTTCCTGTTAACCTTTTCATGCTTCTCTTCAGTCTTTATTTGAAATTCAAATTTCCTGTTTAGCTCTGGTCTTTTCATCAAGAATGCTTCCAAGTCCTCTATTTCATTGAATGTCCATTTTTGCCCAGAGGGATTATACTCAATTTGGCTGGGTAGGTGATTCTTGTTTGCAATCCTATCTCCTTCAAACTCTGGAATGTCATATTCCAGACCCTCCAGGCTCTTAGTGTAGAAGCTACTAAATCTTGTATTATCTGATTGTGTTTCAACAATACTTGAACTGTTTCTTTCTGGCTGCTTGCAATATTTTCTCCTTGCCGTGGGAATTCTGGAATTTGGCTACAATATTCCTAGGAGTTTTCCTTTGGCGATCTCTTTTAGGAAGTGATTGGTGGATTCTTTCAATTTCTATTTTTTCCTCTGGTTCTAGAATATCAGGGCAGTTTTCCTTGATAATTTCTTGAAAGATGTTGTCTAGGTTCTTTTTTTGATCAGGGGTTTCAGGTAGTCCAATAATTTTAAAATTATCTCTCTTGGACCTGATTTCCACTTCAGTTGTTTTTTCAGTAAGATATTTCACATTGTCTTCTATTTTTTCATTCTTTTGGTTTTGTTTTATATAATTTCTTGATTTCTTACGAAGTCATTAGCTTTCATTTTCACCATTCTATTTTTTTTAGCCTCAAAAGTGGAGGGGGATGTTTAATAGGGGCCCAAACCCCTCAACCTTGGAGGAGCTCCTTCCCATTCCCTTTTTGACTTTTCATCCTGGTGGCAGGCACTCCTGCATCCCTCAAGGCCTGGGCTCAGGCTTGTGGCATCCTCAGCTCTCAGCAAGCAGAAGAGACAAGCACGAAACTGCTCCTCTTGAGCACAGAGCCATCTGCAGTGGGGCTGTGCCACCTCACTCCTGCTTCTTGGGTTATTGATCACCACGTAGCCATAGAGGACCACAAACAGGAAGAGGAACATGTCCAGCATGTTGGTGAAGATGGCCATCTGCATTTCCATGATCATTTTGTTTCTTGGCATTCCCACAGTGCTTGCAGAAAGGGAACAGCTTTGCAGTGCCGGACTGCAACTACAAGAAGTCTGCATGCATCAAAGGAAATGTGGCTGGCCTGGAGTGGCAAGCAGAGGAAATGGCCACTCTAGTCCCTCACTCTGCCGCCTCTGTGCCATTCTAATTTTTAAGAAATTATTTTCTTCAGTGAGCTTTTCATCTTCCTTTTCCATTTGGCCAGTTCTGCTTTTTAATGCATTCTTCTCCTCATTGGCTTTTTGGTCCTCTTTTGGGTTAGGCTATTTTTCCAGGTGTTATTTTCTTTAATATTTTTGGGGTCTCCTTTAACAAGCTGTTGACTTGTTTTTCATGATTTTCTTGCATCACTCTCATTTCTCTTCACACTTTTTCCTTTATCTCTTTTACTTGCTTCTCAAAATCTTTTCTGAGCTCTTCCATGGCCTGGGAGTGATTCATATTTTTCTTGGAGGCTTTGGATGTAGGACCTTTGACTATGTTGTCTTCTTCTGGTTCTATATATTGTTCTTCTTTTGTCACCAAAGTTAGGTTCTATAGTCTGACTTTTTTGTTCTGTGTGCTCATGTTCCCACCCAATTACTTGTGTTTTAAACTCTTTGTTAAGGTAAGTGTCTGCTTCCAGTGTGGAGACTGTACTGGCCCAAGCTTGAGGGGTTTTGTGTAGCTGTTTTAAGAGATACTTCTAGGGACCTGTAAATTTTCAGCTCTTCCAAGGTGGTATGATCAAAGGAGAGGTGTTTACTCCTTTTATGGCCTGTGCTCTGGTCTGTGAGTGACCACAAGCACTCTTTTCTGCCTTGGAAATTTGAGGAGGAATCTCTCTTCACCACTGCCACAAGCTCCACCATGCCAGCTGTCCTCCTTACCTCAGGACTGCCACTCGGGTCTGTGACCCAAATCCAAGCATGGGCAAAGCAAGAGAGTCCTGCCTCAGCACCAGCAAAGAGTTCCCTGAAATCCCCCACTGACCAGCCACTCCATCTCCCCATCATCTGTGGTCCAAGAGCTCCAGAAGCAGCTGCTGCCTTGGGGCTGTGCCAGTACTAGGGCTGGACTGCTTTCCTCTCTCACCCAGGTTTGAGAAACCTTTCCTAATGACCTTCCAAGTTGTCTTTGGTTTTTGTGGGTTGAGAAATTTGGAAACCGCTCCAGCTGCTAATGATTCAGTCCTCTGAGGCCTACTCCAGGTTCACTAAGGCTCTATCTTTGTCTGTGCAGCACACGCTAAACTGTGCTCCTCTCCCAGCCTGGCACAACAGACATTTCCCATCAACCGTCTAGATTGTCTTCTGCTGGAACTTTGTTTCAGTCTGTGTTTTTGCGTGTTCTGCCACTATCAAATTTTTTTAAAGCCATTTTTAGACGTATTTGGAGGGGTTTGGGAGAGAGTTCAAGTAAGTCACTGCTTTTACTCCCCTATCTTGGCTCGCCACCCACCCACCCCCCACTTGCAGGACTTTCTTTATGACCTGGGAGCATGAGGAGTTTTCATTTTGGAGTTTCTTTCAAGAAATGATCGGTAGAGTCTTTCAAGTTGTACTTTGCCCTCTGGTTCTAAGACTTCTGGGCATTTTACTTTTCTTTATAATATCTTAAACTATTATGTGAAGCCCTCTTTGTTATTCCTGGTTTTTAGATTGTCCAATGACTCTTAAGTTATTTCTCCTCAATCCATTTCTAGGTCATTGTTTTTTACATGAGATATTACACACTTTTTTCCTTTTTTTCATTCTTTGAATTAATTTCATTTTTTCTTCTTGTCTCATAGAGTTGTTAGCTTCTGTTTGCTCAATTCTAATTTCTAAGTAGTTTTCATCAGTACTTTTTTTTACCTCTATTAAATCTTTCTTTCACTGTTCTTTTTCAGTTCTGTTTCCACTCTTAATTGTTTTTTAAAATTATTTTTGGACCCACATAAATCATCAACATTTCTATATATTACCAACAAAGACCAATAGCAAGACATACAAAGAGAAATTCCATTTAAAATTACTTTAGACATCATAAAATA